ATATATATATATATATATATATATATATATATATATANACAGAATCCGTCTTTGTTTTCCTTCTGCTGTGGTTTTCAGGAAGAAGAAACAGGAAACATCTGAATCTGAGGGACATAATTAGAGATCAGACTAGAGGTGGATGGAGAATAAAAATATATTGTTTGTAAATTTAAATCCAGTGTTGCATCAAACATGAACAATAATCTGCAAATGTTCAATTCAGAAATAAAGCTGCTCTAGAATGTGAGATACCGTGACTGGTGAACTGAAGCAGCAGCTGGAAGCTGGCACTGAGCTACAGCAGGCCTTCTCTCTGACATACTAAGCGGTTAGCATTTCTATACATAGGCCTTGATTACAAACTAAACTGGGAGACGGTGGTAGGGGAAAAGGAAAAACATGTTCTAAACTAACCACCAAAACCATTTTGGCTACAAACATGACTACATCATTCTTTTTCAATTAGGTAGCAAAAATAAAAACCCAAACTTTTCTCACAAAAAGAAGCAGCAACAACTTTCCAGAGAAGGTGAATGATAAAACTCTATTTTCACATCATGACCACAAACCGATATATGAAATCTGTAGTTTTGTTCTCACTGATGTCTGAGTTCTGGCCTCAGAGGCAGCGGCGGCTGGTGGTGTTAGGGTTAGGGTTAGGGCACTGATGTCTGAGTTCTGGCCTCAGAGGCAGCGGCGGCTGGTGGTGTTNCACATCATGACCACAAACCGATATATGAAATCTGTAGTTTTGTTCTCACTGATGTCTGAGTTCTGGCCTCAGAGGCAGCGGCGGCTGGTGGTGTTTTCTCCAGTGGGGGCTATAAATTCAAAACGTATACCAAGAACCAATCAAACATATACTATGTTATCAGCCCATGAATGCTAACAACAAAAAACATTATAAAAACACTTATGAAAACACTATGAATACTATTTGTTTACACTATAAAAATAAAAACATAATTTCATGTCCAGGTTTACTTTTTGTTCATAAATCTTGTCCTTCTGAGGCTTTTTAAAAGTAAATCTGTGTTTTGCATGGTCCAATATTGCGTCACAAACCTAAAAAATGACGGACTAGTTTAATAATGGAAAAGCTTTTTATATTTTTTTTAAATGCAAAAACTACTTATTTTCTGAGAATGTGTTTATCTAAGAGCTGGTATAGATTCTCAGTCATCCAGGTCATCCCAGAAAACAATCCACTGGACTTTGTTTCCAAGTTTGAGGATGTTTCTCTTCCCATCCAGGAAGCTTTTTCTATTCAAAATGTCTGGATAGTGTTTGAGTTCCAGGTTTTATCCGGCAGCCCAACAAAGCCTTGTTATGGCTTAGAAAACATGCAAATTGAACCGAAAACAGGTCCACCCCTTAGTAACGGGGAGTCATTGAGGTTGTTGCTGGCATGGCTTAAATAAAATAAATAAATTGAACATTATTGATCTCACATTGGAGAAATTTATCTCTGCATTTAACCCCTCCCCTTGGGGAGCAGTGGGCTGCCATTGTGCGGCGCCCGGGGAGCAGTGTGGGGTTAAGGGTCTTGCTCAGGGTCCCAGAGTGGCAGCCTGGTGGAGTGGGGGATCAAACTCCCAATCTCAGGATTCAAAGCCCTATGCCCTAACCACTAGGCCGCCACTTCCCTTAACAGGCGTCCCTCCTGTCCTAGCCGTCTTTATCCATGCTGGCTCAGATCCTGACGTTTGAAAAAGGAGGCAGTGAAAGCAGCGTACAGCGTTAGCCTTGTTGCATGTTAGCCTAGCCTTGGAGCTAAACCAGCTCCTGGAAAATGACAGAGTGGACCGTCCCCATCTTTCTTTGGACTGATTAGTTTTGATGTTTGGATGATCAGGTCCAAACGGTTTTACCTCCAGCTTCTCTTGGTAAGTCTGCTTAAAGGAATTTCACTTAATTACATTTTTCTTGCACCATTTCTCTCTCTCTCCAATCGTCTACAACTTCCTCGACTCGACCTGTCAATCAGCCGCACTACAACTGTGATGTCAGTTCCTTTCAGCTCTTGGTGCAGGACAGCTGCACCCCAGGATGTTCCTAGAGACCTGCTATGACTCTGTTGTGGCATCAGCCACATAAATGAGCATCTCTGTTAGATAATGCCCCCCCCCCCCCATGCTGGTTCAGCTGCTGCTGAACTGGACAGCTCCTTCAGTCACAGACTGCTGCACCCTAAATGCACCAGGGAGCGTTATCACAGATCCTTCCTCCCAGAAGCTGGAAGACTCTAGAACCACCACTGTTCCCAACAACCTCAATCAGCTGTTACATCTAAAAATTATATTAATGTATTTCGAAATATTTTTGTTTTATAATAAAATTTTATTTGTTTTTTTTATGTCTTAATGAAGGAAAATGGGTTTTGAAATCCTTTCACTGACTTCCTGTAGCTCAGAAAATAAGCTTTAAAATCCTTCTGTTAGTCTAGAAATCAGTGAATAGATCAGCACCTCAATCCATAACAGATCTGTTGTCAGTGGATCTACCTACTAGACCACTCAGATCTTGTAGTTCCAGCCTCCTCTGTCCACCCAGAACTAGAACCAAACATGGAGAAGCAGCATCTATGCTCCATGGATCTGGAACAAACAGACTGGAAAAGAGCTGAAGGCATGAGTTCTTTGAAGTTGGAGTTAAAAACCTGTTAGTTTAGAACCGATGGAGATAAACTGTTAAAGGAAAAGTCCAATTAGCGAGGAATGATCAATAGGTCATTATTTATGGCTAAAAATAAAACGTTTGTGTTGATTTAATGAATTTAGCATTAACCAGTAAAAAAAAAAACAGCAACAATTTTTGTGGCGATCACTGAGTCTGGGAGAGGCCATTTTTGCCCAAATATAGCAGTGACGTCACGGTGCGGTAAGCAGAGATGGCAAAAGTACTCACTTTCCTTACTTGAGTAAAAGTTCAGATACTTGTGTTAAAAAATACTCTGGTAAAAGTGGAAGTACTGATTAAACTTCTTTACTCAAGTAAAAGTAACAAAGTA